TCATAGCAGAATTCATAATATAACCATAAGAATTCACTCAGCAAAGCTTGGCATAGGAAAAAAATCAAACAGAGATCATGTGATGACAATAAAAATATCATGATAATAATTACCAGGATTCACAAACTCAACAAATGGGAAAATCATCAAAATTTGGAGATAAGAGTCCTGTCTGATGTTGTAGCACAGAAATCCTGACTAGATCATAGGAAATGTTTGCCAGGTTGTTCAATGACTGTCACTGGGCTTTCTGGTAGGTATGATTTCATTATATCTATGAAAGATAAATACTGGGATTAAATAAAAGACTTGAAAGAAGTCTTGAGTAACTGTGTCTTTCATCATGATGGCAAAATATTAACGAAGTGATGTATACACTCTCCGGTGCATTTTCCACAAATAAAGCAGCTTGTCTTTTTAAAGCATTGTGCCTGCTGTCAAACAATAAATTTCAATCATATAGAAGAAAAAAATGAAAGAGAACTCATATGAAATGGGGAAAACAAAACGCAAAGACAAAGCACCTCTACAATTATAGTCAGAAAAGTTTATGACATAAAAATAGGAAGACAAGACAATGCCAATTGGACCTATGTCCAAAATGCAACAATGTCAATGCATATCCTGAGCCTGTACCACTGGGAAGAGAAAACCAGGTAGTTTTCTCAGTTATGATATTCACTGAGTCTTGAGTGACCACTTTTTTGCTAAATTGGGATGGTTTTGAATCAGTATTTCTCCAACTAGACATCTTAAGGTCACAGGTCTCTTCTTGAGGAGAAAGGAGAAAATGTGTTCCCCTTAAGAGGACCCATTAACACTTAAAGGCTATGAAAAGCTCCACACAGAAGAAGACTGATCAGTCTTCCCAAACTCATTTGACCATGGTACACAATTTTATAAAATACCTTCCAGAGGCATCTTTTGTGAAATTTTACTTTAGAAAATAAGACCAGGCTACTAGAAATAACACGCTTTGAAATCAGTTCCGTATGTTTGAAAATTTGGCAAATATACTATGGTGTCCATTTCTGCTTCCTTTAAAGGAAGAAGTTGGATTTGTTTTCTTCAGTGCTTCTTCCAAATACAAAATTCTATAAATCAAAAATACTTAGAATCGGATTTGTCATTCATGTTTTGATTTAATTAAAAAGTGTTTGTACCAATGAAACAAGTACTTGTGAACCTCTACAGCTCTGGTAATGTTTGTAACCATTTTAATTACTTATTATGCATATTTTATGTATAAAATTGAGTCAATTATCTGCTTGAATGAATTATCTGATTAGGGTGTTTTTACATTGACCTTCATGGTCTCTTGGCATCTTTGTGTATGTATAACTATGCTACAAAGCTACATTTGAATTTTTTAATGTAATTCATTCTCTTTCTCCTTTCCATCCAGCATGAATAATCAGGAATTCATGGTATTATGGATTTTTAAATGTCAAGGATTGTAAAGCTGTCTTGCCTATTACAGTTAAAACTTCATTAAAGGCTATCATGTATTCAAAGTAGTATATAATTCAAAGCAGCTGTGCATCCAGCTTCTCTCCTCCAGATGTGGTATTGTTCTTTAAAGAAAAACATCATACGATCCAAGGACTCTGTAGTTTCAAGCCTTGTTTCTTGGTTCCTGGCATGTTTAAGATAACTGTGTCTTTATTAAAGTCATTATACTCTCTTTTGATTGAACACAATGAAAAAAATAGTGCTTTCCCACGACTTCATGTAATTCTTCAGGGCAATGGCAGTTATTCAAATGATTAACATTCAGGTCTGAATCATAGACCAGATTTCCTTCAGCCTGATAGGTTAGCTTTGCACTTCAGAAACATGTTCAATCACAAATCTTTATTTTTAAAGGTTTTTAGTTTCTATTAAGAAAGAATCTCTCCTTCCTTCTCCAATGAGTCAAATTATTCACTTGTGAGTGTAGATTACTTCAGTATTTTCTTTTATTCATGAGGACATGTGTAATTTTCTTAAAGGTGATACCCATTGGAATATGATCTTTTTAGAGTTGTAAGTCATAAATAGTGATAGCTTTCTAATAAGAACATCTGTGTTTCAATTGATTTTTCCTAAAGAAGTCACACTTAAGACTAAGAAAAGTAAGATCAAGTGGCTGTGGAATAATGAGCATAAATTATCTATCGTCATGGATCAAGACAGCAGAAAAACCTCATGTCAAGTATTATGTCATTCCATAGTAGTCAAGGAAAAACTTAAATCAAGATTAAAATAAAGGCTAATTTCACATCCCTCCAGATGGTGTGTTTTGACCAGGTTGGACTTCTTTGCCATCAATAATTTTTAAAATTACCTTTTATAAAAGAAAAGAGAAAACATCTTTACATAAACCTTTACATATCACACACACAGACACACACACACACACACACATACACACACACAATAAGCATTCCAAATTTATGGTTTTGGCACACCAACTGCCTGAAGTTGAGAGAAGAGAAAAGGGGTTAGCAGAACGTGTATTTAGGATAGATGCCATCCACCATCAAGTAATGGTATAAGTAGAAAGTAATCAGAGGGAGACCACAGCAGCTGAATTTCAGATATTCTAGGTTTAGAACAATAAATAATTTTAATCAGGTGTGTTCCAAGGAGAAAAAAGCTCTCTAAGGCTATAACTCACCCTGAATAAGAGCTTGGAGAGTCTGCCAGATCAGCAGCCACAATACATACAGAGCATAGGCACCTGACCATCTGTAAAATCTGTATCATCTTTGGTTCAGAGAAACCCATATGTTGTGAAGCTTAAACATGTTGGACTGGAAAACATATCTAACTTATTAACAGAAACAACATCCTTCACCTACATCAACCCAGGTCATCATGTGAAGTGTGTTTGGAAATACGGATACAGATAAAGAGAGCAATGCAAGAAAACCGTAGCACCTTCCTATAGTCTTGCCTTATTACAGCAGAACAGCCTTATAATAAAATCTTTTCACTGAGTAACTTAAACACTCTTGGAAGGAGTCCAGCACGAACCACCTCTCCAGGAGTCTCCAATGAGGTAACATGACACTTAAGCTTCCACAAAAACTAGTGTCTACATATGATGAATAAGTCATTAAGACAGTCTGTAGGATGCTGAAGGGATTACTTTTCTTATCAGGGCACACAACCTTGTATATATGTTTCAAGCTACAATCCATCATTCAAGGGAAACTCTGCCCTCTGTAACAGAGTTTATCATGGTATAAGACTACACCGAGGCTGATAATGGACACTGGAATTATAATGGGTAGAATGAATACAAGCCACAAAGTGTATAATGTGAGTTATTAAATCCTTAACCATAGTCAACCTAGTCTAAAACAAGAGGATATACAATATGTGCAAATGAAACAAAAATCAAAATCTACTTCCAAACATGGTGATAAATGCTAAAATGAAACCTGTTGAGACAAAAATGCTATTTCTCACCTACTTGAGCACCTCAACTATTCCTAGGAACAGAACCAAATAAATGAATATCTAAGCCAGAATGATTTAAGTATTGTCATTATGGCCACCTGCCTCACCCATCAACTTCTTCCAAACTTTGCTAGCCCCACACTGCTCCTTCATTGAGCTCTGCCCTCAGAGGTGCACTAAAGTAAACAGACAGGTCACTGGTGTGGTCAGCTGTCAGGACAGCCTCAAGTGGCTGGGATGCTTTGCATGAGGTAGGACAGGTTTCTGTTTCCTCAGTGGAGGCCAGCTCTTTACAGGTTCTGCCTATGCATCTAGAAGGAAAGTGAAATCTGGTTCAGCTCAGCCTCTAACTAGACTCCTGCACAAAAGCATAACATTTATTGTAAATGTCATTATGCCTACGAGCTCCAGAGTGTATTCACATTGTCAACTAAGGACTTTTCTTGATAGATATTTTAGTTTTCCTTTTTCCCAGGATTCCCAACTAGTAAAGTTTGGGAGAAATTTCTTTCTAGTGATTTTGATAGAATTGAGAGAGCACTGAGACACAGTCTCAGTCCTCGAACATTCTTGACTGATTTTTCCTCAAATGTTCACTGAAATACAGGATTCACAGTCACATTCCCCTTTATTATGAATACACCAGAGGCAAAAAGCCTGGTGCATCCTCAAAGCAGATAAAGTGTGTGTGTGTGTGTGTGTGTGTGTGTGTGTGTGTGTGTGTCCAGGAAACTTTCCCTCATGTTGTTAGCACAGGGAAAGAGGCCGTTAGCATGTTATTCACCACCACAGGGACTAGGAGAAACCCTGTGAAGCCATGAATTTCAGTCTCAATAATCTGTGTTGAAAAACCAGGACGCGCAGATTTTTCAGCAGAGATTCCAAGAGGTGTTTATTCTCCAGTGATGGCTCTTTCCCCATCCCCAATTCTTCCCAGCGCAGATGGTGCATGCAGCCCCTATTCCCAGACGGATTTTAAATCATCTGAACATTCACACACCTGAATTTGTTTGTGTGTTGCCACCAGGGGACTATCAAGGAGAAAGTGTCCGACAGTAACACCAACACCGGGTGCGCAGAGTTAAGAGTGTGTATCTGGGGGAGCGACTGTTGAGTGTGCTTTTCCCTCTGGGGCCCTGGGGTTGGCATAAAATGGCATCTGCTTGGAGATAAACAGCCAAAGCCCAACTCGCCCAAGGGAATTTCCACTGACAGGTTTGGGACTCACGGCATAAAGTTTCCATAGAGGAATTTGGGCACCCAGGGCTGGGGGGTTCCGCTGGGCATGGAGCCTCGGTCTCCCCCATTTGCTTTTCCACGCAGTACGTCTGGCCAACCTTTGCTCTTCTCTTCACTTTCCCCTCTCACTTGGGACTCCAACTGCGCTTATCCGGAACGCAGCTGGAGAAATGAAGGGATGGAGGGGCCAGAGGGGCAGCAGGGCAGCTGGGAGGACTGGGGAAGGTCCCGGGATCATCAGGGAGCCACGAGGAGGGAGGGTCAGGGGGTAAAATTGGGGCGCTGCGGTTGGAAGGGGGCCCTTCTACACTCACCTGCTGCTCGGGCTCGGAAGCTGCGGACGGTGTTGCCTTCGCGCAGGGGCTGAGGACGCGAGGACTGTGAGCCTTGATCCCTGGAGCCTGGCGTCCGGATCGCCTGGACTCTGCCGCCTCCGCTGTACCTGTCGTACAGCCACAGCATGTGTTCCGACACCTTGTCGTGCGGCTTCAGATCCGGACTCGGGCCACCACCTGTCGTGTGGTCGCCATGCAGGGCTCTGCGGAGCTCGGGAAGATGCGGGCTTGGTTTCTGTCCCTGCGCCAAGCTCAGGCAGAAGCAGCCCAGGCACAGACACAGCAGCCCGAGCGGCCGGGCCATGGCGAGGTCGCGCGGTTCTCCGGGTCGCTGGGAACGGTTCCGAGGGCTGGTGAGCCGCGGAGATGAGGGCTGCACTCCAGCTGCGAGCGGCCACACACACCAGACCCAGCACAGCTGGAAGCCGCTGCGAGCCGCGCTCCCTGGCCGGCAGGTGGGCTCTGCAGCCGCGCGGACCTTCCCTGCGCCCGCCTGCTCGGCCCCGACGCCTGGAGAGGGGACCCGGGCTGTCACGCGCTGTCTCCCCTGGAGCCCCTCTCGATGTTCCAGACACCGGGTCCAGCGACCGCTGAGGATGTGCGCTGGAGCCGCCCTGGCGGTGCGCCGGGCTGGGTGCGCGAGGCCGTCGGTCCCGAGGGCGCTCACGCGGCTCTTACAGATCGCAGCAGCTCAGCCAGTCCGAGTTCTCAGTGTACGTGGGGAGTGTGTGTGTGTGTGTGTGTGTGTGTGTGTGTGTGTGTGAGAGAAGAGAGAGAGAGAGAGAGAGAGAGAGAGAGAGAGAGAGAGACACGAGGCCCCTGGTTTGATCTGTCCAGTCCTCTGGCCGCCTATTTCGCCCTCTAGCTCTTCCTTCTAAAGCAGCTGGGACCTGACCACAGCCAGGAGGGAAGGAGCCCAAGCCCAAGAACGAACAGAGGCAGGGAGAGGAGAGAGAGACAGACAGGATGGGGCTCGGGGTGGCCGCGGGAGGGGGAAAGAGACAGTCTAGGAAGAAAGAAGAGTAGGAGGGACTTAAAAAGAATTCTCTTAAAAAAAAAAAAAGTAGCTGTTTTCCTGCTAGCAAGAAGGTAGAGGCAAATAAAACAGTCGCTTCCAGATTTGCTTTTGGTTGTTTTTCATTCTGATTCAAAGCAAAATCACCCGACCTGAACACCCTTACTTCATTTCCTCCGTCTTTTGTGGGGGCTAGGGGTGCTGACCAAGACACCTCTACCACCCATCATCCCTAGAGCTTGCCTATCATGGGCTCTTCTTTTTCATGTGCATTCCTCATCTTCTTCTTCAGAGGAAACTAAATGAAATCTCATCCCCTGTTAGAACAAGTTACTAACACAAGCCCACTCCCACCTCCTTTGAGCCCCTCACTAGGGTCTCCACAGGATGGCGATGTAAGGGTGCAGCACTGGGATTCTGGAAGAACCTGGTGTGCGGAACAGAGTCTCTAGAGTTACCAGTTCTGACATTCTAGCTATTCCTCTCTTCTGGACTGTAAAGGGGAGGTTAACAGATTACCCAACACTTCCCACAAACATTATATCCTAGGGACTTCTCTCCCCACTCCCGCCCTCCCTCCCCCCCATCATGGGCTATGGGTGTTGTTTTCAAATAATTTTCAAAACAAAGCCCACTTGACAGACTAGAAAACAGAAAGAAAAACATGTCTGGTCTAGTAGGTGCAGAGCTGAACTGCAGACCCAGTAAGCCTGACTTCTGGGTCCTTGATCATCACACTATTAGTGATGAAATTGGCATTTAAACTGGTTTCAACAGCCCTGGACATGTTCTTAACACAGCTCTTGGTATCAGAACTCTCAGTCATCAATCTGCACAAACGTTTCTGAAAGGAGAAAGGCTCATGGGTCACAGTGTATCTTCAAATCATGGTGTCTTCTTTATTGGTGAATAGTAACATGTCCCCTTAGAGTTTTGTTTGGATAACATTAGAAAGCAGTGCTCCAGTGATGGGTACATTGACTAGCCTTTAGGGGGGACTCTATTCTCTTTAACCCAAATTTATCCAAAATGCAGAATACATTCTCCTCAGTCAGCTTTCAAGCCTCTGTTCTGTGGTTTGGATTTTGCCCTTAGCCACCCCTGGAACAGTTCTGCAGATAATAACATATACTTCAGAGTGGTTGAGAGGATTCAATGAGATCATGTGGGTGATCTTTGCCTGGCACAGAAAACATAATAGCTTTTGTGATTAATAATGAAAACCTAATTGCAAAATTCAATAGGCTCTGGAAACTTGCTCCGTCTTTGATTTTTTTTCCCCTGTAATTCTTTGGTTGTGTTCCCTCCCCTTTCTGCTCTCTCTCTCATTTCTGTGACATGTTCTCACATCTTCATGATCTTCCCTAAAACAACACAAGATTGAGAAGAAAATTCTTCTTCACTCCTGTTGCTTAGGGTTTCTGACCTGTATGTACAGAGTTCTGTGCCTCCCCAGCCAGAGCCTTCACTAGAGAAGTTTGTCTTCATCCCCTTTGGAAGCCTTCCTGCTGATTCTCCTCCTTCATGCCTTTAACTCCAGTGCATATTTCCATTATAGAATTTGCTCCTCTGTACTCAATATAATTCTTCATCTGCAGGAAGTCATGTCACTGGTGCTGGAAATGACTGCAGGTTTCAGTTCCTAGCTTGACCCCTTCTGAGCTAAATGCACCTTCACGTCTTTCTGCCAGCATTTTCTCATTTGGATCTGGTGGCACAGCCTATGATCCTAGTATTCAGGAGAATTAGAAGTTAACAGTCAGTGAAAGTCCATGCAATGAGTTCAATGACAGCCTGGTCTACATAGTAAGAAAGACTCTGTATGAGGAGAGAGAGAGAGAGAGAGAGAGAGAGAGAGAGAGAGAGAGAGAGAGAGAAATAATGCCAAGCAGATGAGTTAGCTGAGACCTAAGAGTTTTTGTCTAAAGTAGACCTGAAACCTTACCTATCTTCAATGACCAGCTATTTACATTCAGAACAAGCAAAATAACAAGGTGTCAAACAGGTAGAATAGTCCCTATCAGGGACTATCTATAACTTAAAGACTGGAGTAGAATCTGAATATGGAAACCATTGAACTGAGTGAGCAACACTATTAGGATCCAAATCACCATTTTAGGCTCATTTGTACCCATCCACCCAGGAAGATGGAGCCATGGAAGAAACATATTGAGACAACAGCAGTGTTGTAGCAAAGACAAATAAAAGCACCCATTTCAACCCTCTAAGCAACTCTTGAGGAATTGAATTGACAGTAAATTGCATTGGAAATAAACAGTTCCCTCCTCAGAACTCTTGAAGTTGCATCGTGATATACTTCAAGACAGTATAAGACAGGGTTTTCTGTTGTGAAGGCCACAGGATCTCAGATTTGGGTCATTTAAATTGTTTCAAAATGTTAATATCTTTGCCGCCTGCCCCCCCCAAGCAATAAATAAATAGATCATAGGATTCCTAATTCTTCTGCCTGAGCCTCGGGTTTAGGTTTCCTTGATTTATGGAGAATTTAGGGCTTTTCACAAAGAGTAACTTCAGAACTAAATATATCACTGATAGTAGTGCCTTGTAATGCTCTTTCAATTGCATTGGAATAATTGAGTTTTTTGGTGCTTTTAATAATAGAACATTTCTTCTTTATGCTAATTTTCCTGTTACAGCCACATCTTCTCCTTATAAATGCAAAGAGAGTTAGAGAAAGACATTACTATAACTGCAAACCACAACAAACACAGATTTGGAGTTTTAACTGGAGTCTGTTGAGTTCTGCTTTTGATTACAAAAATCTCTATCAATATGTATGTCTGTATGTTCCCCATGCGTGATTTTATTAGCCGTCTTGAGAATTGTGTGGATTCACATGTTAACAACTTCCAATCAAAATTATTATTCAATACTCACTGTGGAACTGTCCTCTGGGTATGGCATGGCTGCTGCTGTCTTGAAATCAGAGCAGTGGTGACTACCCACACAAGACCCTCACAAGACTGGAGCCACTAACATTCCCTCGTGGAAGGGAAGGAGGGTTTATGAGCTACATGAGTCATCAAGGGGCTCACTAGGCAGCACAGGAGGCCTACCTCTCCCTGTGGACATATAAGTGGTTAATGCTTACTGGGCAGGGGCCACTTCTTCAGTATGGTACACACTGGTCAGTTGTTCTTGCTTTTGTTGCTAGCCCCACACACATACTCCTGTAAATAACCCCAATTAAACTGCTTGGTTCGCCAGACTCGACTTGGTTGGAATTGTTTCTTTGGTCTGTCACTGGTGCCCTGTCTGAGGTGAATATATATTTGTTCCCATAGCCAGGGAAAGTTAACACATCATCTAAGCCTGTATTAGTAGCTGTGTGCTCTGGTTCCTATCTTTTTTTTATTTCTTTCATCTTTGTTTCATCTATTAGGTAAATAGTATTTGTTTTGCTCTTGATGCTTAATTTGTGTTGAGAATGAATGCAAAGATGATATCATATGGTCCCTTCCTGTGAAAAGTTAGTCTGCTGGAGAGATGGGAATACCTTATTAATTAACTTAGGAAATCTTCATACAGTTTTGGTTGGCTGAGTAATTTTTTTCTGCTAACCATAGAAAGCATGCTACATGGAAAAGGTGACACTTGAACTGAGATTTAAAAGTATTCAAACAGGAGATTTTCTGGGAGTTTTCCATATGGCATATTCCAAGCAGACGAAGAACATCTACACCGAGAGACTCTGGGATTCTCTTTCCTCTTCTCCCAGGATTTCGCTCCACTCCATTCCTCAGTTAAGTCACATTAACCATCTACTTCCCTTTAGTTGTCAGGAGGCTACTAATGGCATTCTTGACTTTGTCTTCTCTATGGGGTCAGTCCCAACTTCGCGTAAACGTGTGGATATTTTGCCAGTATCATGGATTCCACACATGTAAAATGAAACTCAGCATCTCTATCCTCCAAGCATATTCTTGGCTTGCAAGTGATTATGAATGGCACCATTACTTTTCCAATCATCGAGGGTCTGTGTCACATGCTCTTACTCTCCTCTTTGATAATTGTATAGAGTCCGTGGAAGGCATCTTCGTATTTTTTCCATCTGTCTTTTTTATTTTTACTGCAACCCCTTTCAATTTGTTATTATTTTAATCTAGATTAGTTTTAGTATTTCCTAAATGGCCCCCAGTGTCTCTCACTCTGACTGTACTTGGTTTCTGCTCGTTGCATGAACAAGTTACCACACACAGGCACAAACAATACCCATCTATTGCCTCACTGTTCTGTGGATCAGAAGTTCAAATGGGCTCAGCTGAGGTCTCTGTTCAAGGTCTCACAGTCAAACTGTTGACCTGATGGTGTTCCAATTTGAAGGCTCTGGACAAAACTCTCTTCC